GAAATCTTGGTCGAATTATGCGACAATTACCACCTCCACCTAAATATGACGTTGGTGAGTGCTTGTGGTCTTTGATTTTTGAACTCTCGTTTTTCACAGACAAACAACCTTTTGGGCATTATTGACATTTTCAATTGGCCATTCAAGCCATTCAAGCCGAATAATGTGAAAGGGATCCGCCCCGAATCACCATTATTTACTAGAAAAACAACGATTTGTACCCTTGATAAGTCTGTTCCGAATGACCCTTCAGACGGAGTGATCCCGAGGGAGTTCACATAGCCAACCACGTTTACTCGACTATGAACCAAAGGGAAGGTGGAGCTTCTTCAGATAGCAATTACTGTAAGTGGCGGTTAGGGCGAGATTTACCCCACTTGCTTTACCATCATAGCTCTCATGTTCCTATATTTCCCAACTTCCTACCAACGATATTTCCGGACCACATACCCACAAATCTGGACTCAAGTACCGTCCGGGCCAACCAAATCCACCCGTCCGGGCCAACCAAATCCACGTGCATCGGCCTACTGCTGCAAGTTGTCGGAAAGGCTAAATCGCTTCCAAACTACCTGCTATTTCCTTCGAAGATTTTGCCTATCTGCTGTCATAGCCGCGAGTGAAGCATGTTCAGGACCACCCCCTCTCCAGCTCCCGTCCCCATTGAATATTCAAAAGAATTTTTTGCTATTTTCTAAGCGTTGTAGATTTAACTCTCTTTTTTCAGCGATCGCCTCCAGTCAATCACCGCCACCGCTTTACTCGGACATCGAGAAAGGAGTAATATTCGATCCTCTCCGCTCTTTATCCAGTACTGCTCCGTCATCACCAACAAGCCCTGACGCACCGCCACTGACGATTCAGTACCTTTATCCACCTCGCTATGAGCCGCCAGCCGTTCACAACTCCCACTCTTCAACCTGCACGGACTCTGAACGTTCTACTACAGCAGTCTCGCATTCCAGTGACTCCAATCGCTCATCCTCAGTTTCTGATCGACCATCGGTCACAGTAGTTCTTATGAATGGTTCGTTGTGACGTCAGCTTGTCATGACGCTGGTTCTATCGGATGTAGGTCTTTCCCAACTCCATAAAGGGATTGGGCAAGCTCATATGTTAGAGGCCACTGTTGTATGAGGACTAGGTGAGGCTCAAGGAAGACGCAGGGGTCGTACATTCATTCCGAGAGCATATCCTTATTATAGGCCGCTTAAGTTGTCGCTCAACCCTGCCAAAGAGTGAGGTCATGGATCGCACTATGAGAACGTCCATGCATTCATAACAAACTGTTGTGGAACAAGGGGAGTGCGACAAGACAATCGTAATATTGGTGGGCGTGGCAAGCGACGCCGGCGGACGAGTTGTCCTGCATGGCTGATTGAGCATGGTCAGAGGGATGAACATTCAAAATGGCCCGTCATGGAGTTTTGTCTTTCGCTTTAATCCATGAAAATGAGCAGCTCTGATCGAACTGCTGCAGATAAAACGTGCCGCCCACGGCAACACGACGCGCCGCGCGCGGCTACGCGACCAACTACGATTGTCTTGTCCGTCTCCCTTCAACCAGGGCCAGATTCATGGCCTTTTCTCTGACGTTCTAGCCCCTCAAAACTCAGGTGCTTACTAACATAAGACAAACGTGCCTAGTAATATCATATGGTAGCTACAAGC